ATTACGAATTACTTAATGTTTAATTGTAAATTAATTTAATTAAACAATAAATATATATATTAATTTTAATATGAGCTGAATTCAATATATATATATTTTATTTTTTCAAGGTTAATTACCGATGCCATTCTTGTCGGTAAGTAGGAAAACAGTAATAAAAAATGGCGCCTGAAAAAATTGGCGCCTAAAATTTTGGGGATAAGCTGAATTCAACATATTTTTTTTTATTTTTTTAGGGTTAATTACCAACGTGACTCTCGTCGGTAACTAGAGAAATCAAAAATCGCGCCTGAAAAAATTGGCGCCTAAAATTTTGGAGATGATTTGAACCTGCAGCGAAGATCTTCACTGTCAGACGTGGCTCTTGTCGGTGATCTAGTAAGACGGCCAACTATTTCCGAGGCATTGGCAGACGTGATGTTTGTCGGTGATAAGCGCAGGGCTCGAGGCTCCTCCTTATGTGCAGACGCTATCCTTGTCGGTAATTTACCGACGTGGAACCAGAGATGTTTTCCAGTTAAGTGTTCCGACTCCCTATTTGCAAGATGTTTTTTGTCGGTAATTGGGAGTGCGTTTATCGACGTGATTTTCATCTACCTCGGTGATTTAATTACCGAGCCGGGCTTTACCGAGGCAGCCATTACCGACGTGATGCAAGTGGGTAGTTTGTTTCACCAACCAGATTCCCTCTTCCTCCGACATGGTTTCTCGTCGGTGATACAGTAAATTCTTGTAGTGTTAATTGAATGGTTGATAAAATTAAATTTAAATTTTTTTATACAAATTAAGGGCCTAGGTTAAGAAAATCTGTCTATTTAAATATAATCAAAAAATGGTCTAATACTACTTAAATATATTTATTTATGAAAATTTGGATAATTGATTTGAGAGAATAATTTTTTTAGGAGGACTGCAATTAAAAAACATTAATTTGAAGTATGAAAATATAAAAATATTATTAATTAATCTTAAAAAAAATTTAATTCATTAAGTATATTCTTTTCTTTTCTAGTCTTAGATAGATGAGGACTTGAAAAAAAAAATCTTAGACTAATGTTTTGATGTTTTTAATTGTACTATGAATGGAAATTTTTTTTTTTTTTTTTTGGTTTTATCTATTAATCCAAGAAATATATTCGGTGCATCCACATGACCAGATCATTCTACTGCGTTACAAATTAAAGTGCCAATATAAGTCAGGGGCAT